CAGATGAAAACTTTTTGCTAAACTAAACACATTACTACTGCACATGGCAGCACATAACTATGTTCCCACCAGCCCACTTTCTCCCAGAAACATTAGAGCAGTTGGCAAGCGAAGAGTTCTCAAGAACAGGTGGAATATCAGTGAAAATAAGAATGAAAGAAATGTCCACATAAAGCAAGGAGCTCTAAGACTGAGGGTTAGAACATCTGGCTCTCAATTGGCTCAGAGGTCTTGCTGGAGTTTCTTCCTGTAGGAAATCTGGAGTAAGCATAAATAACAGTAATAAGATACCAAAGGAAGCTTATATACATACTGCATTACATTGCCCAAACACAAATTTCCACTGCATTTTTTTTTAGTACTTAGGTCTGGAGAAATGACAAACTCCAGATGCCACAAGGTGATCTCTCTACTCCCCTATGGACTTTAATTGCAAATAACCAACAGAAACAACTTCTCTTTCTACTTCTATTAAGTAGAACAATTCAGTTTAGAATGGTCATCTTTCTGTCAGAAGACATGACCAAGCAAAAGGAACACCCTTTTTCACCACATTTTTATCAAGGACATTGGAATTCCATAAATGTTAAACAAATCTCCTCTTTTTTTTTTCCCCATGTAAAATGGAATTAAATGGAATTCCTGTGAGTACTTTTAGTTTTTTATTAAGCTTTAAGGGGCACTTCTCAGATTTCCTGCTTCTAAAATAGCTCAAAAGGAAGCCCAGTCTAAAAATGAAACCACATCATTACTTCCTCAACAGAAGTCTGATTCCAAAGTGGATACAAAACTTTTGCGACTATTATGACATGTATTTTAAGTTAATGTGGCAGATATTGTCTGCCTTAAAGGATAAGACAGCGTATGTGACCGCACTGCAAAGTCTACATCAAGGCAAAGAATAGATATTCAAAATCTCATCTATGATCAAGTTGTTCTGCATATCTCTTTAGCTTATTAGTGAGAAGGCAGAACAAGAAATTAGAGAAAAACAGTGAAAGCAAAAGGTCAGGTACTCAATTAGATGCTTAGACTTTGGACCAAACAAATTCATGAGCTTCCCCCTTCTCTGCAAATTCACGAGTTTCCTCCTTCTGTGCTGCCTCTTGCTCTTCTCATAGCCCATTCTCAGTTCAAAGGAATCTGGTCACTGCAGGTGTTGTGAACTCAGCGCTGTTTATGGCACAATGGAGGAATGGATGGCTTCTTTGACACCAAGGGACTCTTAAGAGCTTACCTTCATCGCCCAAAGCTTGCCAGCTCCAACTCGCCAAAAGTGAGGTTATTTAGAAGAGAGAGGGGACCCACTGGCATCATTGCTGAAATTACAGATATTTCTTACCATACAAACTATAGAAAGGAATGTTATTTTGAGCTCCTTTGAACTGAGGTAAGAGACAGCTAGTAGTGCCGTAGCTCTTTTCTGAAGCATATGCACAAGATGAAAGTGAGATAGGTGTGGAGTGGACAAACTACTTTCTTTATCACTTGCAGACTGGTTTTGGTTTGTCAAAATCCAGCCTGCAATTTCACATTTTTCTTTTTTTTGAAGGAGAGGTGGGGCAGAGGGGACCAGGCAGGAGCTGTTTTTCAAAACCTGTGAATGCAACATTCAGCATCCAAGCTCAGAAGTTCCTGCTGCTCCTGCAAAAAAAAAAGGACAAACAAGCCCCTTTCATGTCAGCTATGTCCAGCTGGAAACGTCACAGCTTTGTCACAATGGAACAAAGCATGCCTGGTGTCTGTTCTTTCAAAAGGTCTCTTAATTCAAACAAAAGAAAAATATTCACATCTGGAAGGGGTCGTAGGCAGGGGCCGGGAGTGGAGGAAGCAAAGTTCAGATGGCAAGTCATAGCAGTTGCTGTTTGTCTAATTATTGTACTGCCTGTTCTGGCACTTATTGATCCAGTTAAAGAAAGAAAGACAAGAGTTAAAACAGCAATTTTATTATTGATTGACCTCGGAGGGCCAGATGAGACACACCTCTTCACTTTTGCTCCATTCATCATGCTGGAACACTCAGGCTGAGTGAAAAGACCCCCTTGTGACCAGTCTGGCAGTAGTTCATCTTTTTTTTTTTTTCTAATAAAGAAAAAAATTATTGTTGTGTATGGAGTCCAAGCTTCCTTTAGAAGACCACAACCTTCAGTTTCAAAGGATCTACATATTGAAATCCTGGCCTTTCCAATGGGTTTATTTGAGCATCTGTTTCTGTAGAGATTAAAACCTTTCAATGACTGCAGAGTTGGGAGGCTCAGTATCAGAACTGAGCCACAGGAAGATCAAAAATTAAATGTCTAGTGGGATCAGATTAAAGGAAAAGAGAATAAACTGAAGAGTAGGACTTCACTGGCTAGGCATGAAAGACCAACAGTAAGACTTTGCATTACACTCCTAAACTAAAAAAGTTTTTTCCTTCTTCAACATCGAGTGCTCTGAAGATGAAAAGCCTCTCCTAGGCTGCCACCTAGCTAGTTAATTTCTTGTATTGTTTTAGGAGCTATTTTAAAAAGCTCTTTTGCTCCAGCCCTTATTGCATTGACTCCTCCCTTCTGAGCTGGTATTTTGTCAGGAGTTTCAAGAGCGATAAAAACTTGCTGCCAAGTCCCTTTCTTCCCCACAATGTGTTTTATAACCCAGCGTGTAGTTCAGTCTGTCTAAACACTGCACTAGTACACTGCCATCAGTTTCCATGGAGATGATTAACTCCTACAGAGCCAGAAAGCGTCAGTGTGCTTTTTGCCCTTTCAGCACATGAAGAATATGACAGCATTTACTAAAATCAGCCTGTACAAACATCACATTTTCCAGACAGTTCTAGCAAATGTAAGGATTTACTTTTCCTTCAATCCCTCACACAAAAACGTGGTCTTAACCAAACTTGCATTTAAGTCATCTACTAGAATGAGTTGCTCTTTCTCCTTCTACTTCTCCTCCTTTGCATTGTCGTGATGCCCAAAGGCATGACAGCCCCACTGACATCAACTTTTTGAACTACTGTGTCTTAAGAGCAAAACCAAGGCATGAGACATAATGAAGAGTCCAGAACAGAGAAAGGAGACTACTTTGAACTCAATCAGAAATCAGAATACAAAACAGAAAAACTTTGCACCCTAAAGTTAAGGAGCACTGTTATATGAATCTTCATAGTTTACCATACTCCTAGTCATTTACTCCTCTAGCAAAAATATACTGTCAGTGTATATTCATAACAGAAATTTATTTAACACCATCTGAAGAAGTTGAATTCGACTTAAAACTATCCTTAATCTAGTATAACACAACCTAACCAGAGCAAGAAATTAGACCTTCCTTTAAAAGGTAGCTAATGAAGGCCACATGCTGTCATCAGCTTTAGCTGTAGAAAAACTGTTTCCCAGCCTCACTTTCACAGAAAGAACAATCTCTCTGGCACTTGCCACTTAGGTGGCATGTTTGTTGATCCAAACTATGAAAACGGCAACAGAACTTTTAATACTGCAGTTTCCTGGAAGAATTCCCCAATATAAAACTATTTTATAAATATTTTCCAGGCTATCATCACTGAAGCAAACTGTAACTTTCCCAGCACTTTTAACATGTAATGTTTTTTTTGGCATTCAAGAGCAGATACACTATATAAACTACACATGAATAACCAGGCATAGCTGTAGTTTCTGTAGAAGTGTTAAGGGCAAGAGAGATTTTCTTGCCTGTAAGCTTGGCTAGCTTGAAAGAGCCACTGGCAGGGCTCACAGCAATGGGTGTTCTGCAGCAGTGGGAATTATTTTCTATTTGACTTCCACAGCAGTTGCCAAGTGGATTTCTTTGCAGACTTCACTTGGAGTCAGTACTCTGTGGGTACAAGCAGTGCCAAATCCCCCAACCCTTTTTACACTGCGCTAAGACAATCCACAGAGGTGCAAGACTTCACCCATGCAGTCCACTCAACAACTGCTGAAGCAACAGCCTGTATTTACTTTTATGTGGCCATGTGTCCAGTATTAACTCAAAGGACAGCACTAATTGATTTTGTGTACTTTACCACAGGACACTTACCAAGCAGCAACCCTATTTGGTTAACCACCCTTGGCTACCAGCAAACCAAAGAACTTGAATCCAGAGTCTTCATTACCCTGAGAGATTCTGGGTGCTCCCCTTGTCCCCCCATCTAAAGTTAGCGTAGTGAAGACCCTTAGGGATGCTAAAACCCATAGCAGAGAACATCCGCAAGGATCCAGTAGAAGTGTTTCAACTTTCCCAAAAAAAAGCAGGCAACTTCGCACGCCTCCCACAGCTGCAAAGATCACAGCCTAGCGCACAGAAAGCGTGGAGACACTTGTTACCTGCCTCTCCAGCCCACAGGCGCAGCACCACAAGCCTGCGTGAGCCGCACCTTCCAATGCCAACCACCACGGGCGGTTTCCTGGCTTGAGAGAGCTCACCCTAATCCTGCCTCCTACTCTTTTGTCACCAGGCTGTGGAGGAAATTTTGGCTGCCCGCACCTCCGATTGTGTTTTTGCCTTGCTGCAGGAAAACCAGCCGCTCTGATTTCCTGACGGCATTTCTTGGAGAGGCTGCCACCGCTGCTGCGGGACAGGGCTGGCTGCTGTGGGACGCCTGGCTCCCTGATGCCCCTCAGGAGGGGCTGGGCAGGGGTCCGCCACCACACACCTCTCCTTTTACTAACCCAGGCGTATTGCAGCACCTACCGGAGTCATACCTGTCTTGGAAGGTCAACTCACCCTCCCCGGTTCAACCTGCCCAAACCTCTGTTTTCAGGTGTCACCCGCAGGACGAAGGACTTGACTCCTGGTGACAGCCCGGCTGCTGCCTGAACCCCCCACCCCTTCAGGCTCCCACAGAACTTTCCAGAGGTGCAGGCTTCGCACCGGCGGGGCAGGTGCCGGCTCCCCAGGCGAGGGGTCTCGGCTCCCCGCCTCAGGGAGTCCCCCCCCAGCCCTGGCGGGGCCGGTGGCTGCGGGGCGAGGAGGGGGCCGCCCGTTGCGGCGGCACTTACCGATGTCGGAGTTGCAGAAAGCGTCCTGCGGGTGGATGGGGACGCAAGTGCAAGCCTCCACCACCAAGTCCCGCAGGCTCCAGCTGCAGAGGAACACGACGAGGAAGCTCAGCCACGCCGTCATGTTGCCCACCCTTCCCCGAGGTGCCTCCTCACTTCTGCGGAGCGGGAGGGCGGCCGCTGGGTTTGTTCGCCTGACTTTATTCTAGCTCCCTAACAGCCCGCCACCGCCTGCCTGCCTGCCTCCTCGCACTGCCTCTCTCTCTCTCGCTGGCTCAGCAGCGCAGCCTTCTCTCGGCGGGACGGTGCCAAGCCTGAGGGCAGGGAGAAGCCGTGCAGCTGGCCGTGCGGTGCGATGCGGAGCTGCGCTGCGCCGCTGATGGGGCCGGTGCGCCGAGTTATAGCCTCGATCGCGCCCTCTCGGGCTCCGGGGGCGCCGCCGCCCCCGACCAATGGGAGCCCCGCATTACCTCATCGGCGGGAGAGGCCAGAGGGGCCGGGGCGGGGCCGCGGCCGCCGCTTCAGCGCCTTATAGGGAATAGTGCGGGGAGCGGCGCGCGCGGGCGGCGGTTGGGGCAGGTAACGGCCGCTCTGAGGGGAAGCCCCCCGTCCCCTCACGCTTGCTGTGTGCCACCCCGGGCGGGGGGTTGAAACTCCTCAAAACTAGTTGTACCTCCGAGGTAATCGGCCAGTGTCCGTCCCCGCCGCCGCTCAGGTGCCCGGCCGCGGGACTGGCCCCGTAGTGGTCCCCCTGCCCGCCCCAAGCCGGCACCGGCCTCCCCTCAGCCGCACCGCGGGGTTTGTGGTTGGCTTGGAAAGCTTGAGGTTATTTTCCCCTCTAAACCATCTCAGCTGTCTGCAAGCTGGCTTTAAACCGGAGGGGGCAAAGTAGTGTTCTTAACGGCTTTCAGAGCAGCACTGGGTGTTGCTTCTGCCCCTCTTTCAGTAAGCAGTGAGAAGAGGATGGGGGAAAAGGGCCAGACTTAGCTGAAGTGCAAAACCGGGATTTCGCCCTGCGGTTTTTAATCCTGCTCAAATGCTCCTTCTCCTCCTGTCACACCACCACCACCATCCATCGCTTCCCCTTCCCAGGGCTTTCGGTCAGAAAAGGGTCATAAGCTGCTAAAACCAAGCTGGAAAAAGCAGCGCCGTATCTACCCAGGCGCTCCCAACATTTAATCTCAAAGTACATTTTAGCAGAGCAGCTTTAGTGGAATTTATAGAAAAGTCCTGTTTGTTTTGTTTTCCTTTATCCCCCTTTGGAACGGTAAATTTCTATCCGCTGTAGAAATGTAAATGTTATAGAAGAGCTGGGACTGTAAGGAAGGAGATTGCCAGCTGCAAGATACAGCCAGCCTTATTATCCTGCAAGGGGGACTGAGGGGTGATTAATCACAGTATCAAACCAGTGTATATAATGTCAGAGTACTTTCCACGGGGTTTACAAGACTTAAGCATGTCTAGTTATAAATTATGCTGGTATTAAAGGGCAGGGACCAGCTGTCCTAAATTTCTAAATAGTCAGCTAAGTCTTTAGATTTACAATTCCGCTCCATCTGGGTGAAGCACAGCCTGCCTACACCTTTTCCTTAATCATACAGTCCATATGAAATTAAAACCCCCAGTCTTATGGAAACACAGGCTTTTATTTGGAGGATCGGTACACAAAAAGCTTCAAGATGGGTGTTGCTGGTAGAGATTGAGGTTACAATGCTAGCAGTGGGAAACACAGGTTCCTACCCTCGCTGTGACACAGACAACCTGTGTGACAGCTTCACCTCGCTGTGCTTCAAATCCCAGTCTGTGTAACGGGGATAACAGTGATGGGAGCTTCTCAGGAATGTGTGTCAGTGAACACACTGAAAAAATTAGATGGTGTTGAGGTGCTAATGGGCCATATAAGTATGTATGAGGCAGGGTATTAAACAGGACATTTGATTTAGACACATCAGTGTCTGAACCATTTGGCTTCAAACTGCGATATTAGAAACACTGTGCAAAAACACTCCTTACGTACTTGGTTAGCTACTGCTTAAGCTACAGCTGAAGTTGAATCTGTCAGATTGGACTGTCATTTCAGTCTCACTGGGTGTAAACAAGGAACAACCCCAGCGACCTCAGCAGAGTAACACGAAAGAAAAATGAGGTGTGTCTGACACTTTCATTTTTTCTTTGTTGTTGTAAAAAGTTTGATATCACCAACATCATGATACACCTGGTCTATCAACATCTCAGATCAGTATCTGAGAGAAGTGGAGTTATTCCATAACCTGACACTGATGTAAATAAGAGTTTGGCCCACACACAACTAGATTATCATCACAGCTCTGGCACCACCTTCCTTCACTCTCTGGCCAAGTAACTCCACTGAGTATGTTTCTCCATTTCTATAATAACACCTTTCCTGCCTGTTCTGAGGACTAACAAGCTGAATGCCTTATAATAAGCTTTAAAGATGTTGGGTGCTGTAAGAATGCTAAAAGGAACTATAACACATAGATGCATGTATTAGCATTGTCCGGAGCAGTAGTACCTGTGTTCAATCAGGAGGCACTTAGCTGGTTCACCTGCTTTTTTGACATCTAGATATTCTTTTAAAAAATATATGAACTTCTCTATAATAGTAAGCATGCAGGTTTTTTCAACCACAACTGGATACTGTACAATAATAACAATACTTATTTACCACTTTAAGGGTCTGTTTCATACACAGAAACCATAGTGCTTTATTTTTGTAAATCACAGGTAAATAATACCCGGGAAAGCTCAGTCTGGCCAGTGGCGTGCTGGGAGGCCTTGGTTAAATCATTTAACCTGCCTGCACTTTCATTTTATCATATCTAAATAAAGATATTGTATACTATCCTCTGATAATATCTGTTAGATATTTTATATTAGCCTTTCTCCTTTGAGACCTACCAGTAAAATGCACTCCAGAAGAGCCAGGCAGGGGTTCTGAGTGTTTATTTATATGAGAAAATTTTGATAATGGGGTCAAAGTAAGGCAGAAAGTCGATGAAAGAACTGAAAGGAGAACTCCATCTGAATTCTTGCTCTATGCCCTGTCTGCATGGGAGAATCTGCAAAGGGAAAAAAATGAAATAAAAACTAGCATTCAGCTCCCTTGCCTAGATAAACTCTAAGCCTTATATGGCCATAAAAAATGTAGCAGAGAAAAAACAGAGAAAATAAAGACCTTGATCTTCATATGAGAAAATTAAAGTTCACGTTTGGTTAATGTCACCAAATAAAGAAATCTATGTTCTCCCAGTCCTCCACCAAGAACACACTGTTGAACACAATTAAGGATCTCTCTGCTTTACTGGGCAGCCACACCACTTCATGCTGTGATCTTGTCGGATCCCACAAGCTAAGCATGACTGGGCTGGGTCAATAGTTGGTGTGAAAATTCCCAGGGAAAGCCATGTCCCGCAGGTGCTGTTGGCTGAGCGGTGTCCGTCTTCCCTCGGTCCTGCAGGAATGTGTACAGACAGTGCTAGGGGGCACTGCGCTCCAAGAGATGGCTGCATTTTTTGCGGATGAAACTAGCTTTCTTGCAGTATCTAAAGAACTCACGCTCTGAAAAGTAAAGATGTTAAGCTGAGTTTCTTGGTTAAGTTTCAGGAGAGACAACGACCTTCTGCTTCCATAGATACTCACTGCAGTTTACATCAGGAGCGTATTAACAGTATCATTTTCCTTCCCCGAGTCAAGCTCGTGGCTAGAAAGGACCAACCCAGAGTGAGCTGCAGAGACTGAGATAAAAATCACTTTGGGATATTACTTCAATAGGCTTAAGGTGTTGCTGTAAGTGAACTAAAGGCACATTCACTTCCCTTCTGATCACATTTCATTGTGAGGGATACCAGGCGCTGGCAGAAAGCTGTTCCTGAACTGAGAAAAGCACCTGAATGTAAGTAGTACAGAAGGGCTTCATCAAACTGCAGGAACTGCTGACCAAAAAAACAGAGAGAGAGAAAAATGAAAGAAAGGCAGGCAGGAAGGAAGGGATGGAAGGAGAAAAGGACAGAAGGAGGGAAGGAGGAAGGGGAAAAGAAAAAAAGAGAAAGAAATAACCCTGTTACCACCACTACCAGAGAAAAAAACCCTGACACATGCAGTGGCTGAAAACACTCCATCTCATCAGCACACCACAACTAGCTCAAACTGAATGAAGTCAGGAGACTTAGGCCTGCACTCCAAACAGTCCTGCCACCTCCATGAACAATGTATTAATTTTAAAAGCTTCTGAAGTATGGGCATTTTTCCATTTTAACTTTTCTGCAGTAACTTGACTTGATTCGTAAGCGTGGAGTCCTGCCATTAACATTCTAAAATGTCCAGCTGCCAAGTTGCTGAAAAGCCTGCTCTTGTCCTAAAAACTTTTCTTGAAGTTGACAATCCCCATATCTTTTACACCAGCTCAGTATCACACCCTCTAGGAGATATCATTGTTTTTCTGCTTTTATGCAGCAGATGGGAAAGGATAGCTGCTTTTCGGAGGTGTCTGATGTCTTTTTTTACAGCGCAGTCATGTCATCTGGTAGGGCAGTGCAGAGTCGTCATGTATTTTATTAGCAAAAGATTCTCCTATTTCCTGATTATCTGTTTCTTTTTCAGAATGACTGTTTTTTCTGATGCTGTCCTTTGAGAATACTGTTTTGTTTAAAATATATTTGCTATGATTTATGAGTGTGAAAAAGGTTGAAAAAACCTCCTCCTCTACTAATTTCTCCATTGTATCAGTGAACTTCATATGCTACTTAAAATAAGACGACTCTTTCTTCAAAAACGTCTTTGATTCTATAAATACATATGAAAAAAATTCATTTGATCTCTTTCTCAGAGGTTGCAAAGGAATTATGTCACCTTCCTGTCTGCAAGCCAGACATAGGTAACGCTCTATCCCATCCCAAGCTTTTAATTTGAGGTGCACCGTTAATCTTTTGTCGGCTCTAATGTTTCTATACTGCATTCAGTCTTCAAGGACCCTTTACAGATTGTGCTTACAGGGAGCGCCCAGCCTGGGAGCAGACCACAGGCACCATGTGTCACCAGGCGTGTTACAGTATAAAGGACTGTCGAATATGAAATCACCCTCTCGGTCATGCAGGGACCCTCCGATCAGGCTGTGATGTGGCATCAGCTGCAGAAGGGCAACCAGGAAATATCTTTTAACAGCCTTATCAAGCTGAAAATGTTTCCTGCACATGACGGCGCTCTTTGGCCCCAATCCAGCAAAACACTAAGGCACATGTTCAACTTTAAGCACACAAGATGCTCTGCTGAAGTCAACAGGACCGTTTACATGCACAAAGTTAAATATAAGCTTAAGTGCATTTCTGGATCAGGGCCAAAGGGCTCAGTACCACGCAGGGTTCAAGCCAGGAGG